TACATTACAGACAGACAGATATATATATATATATAGTCAGTCAGACAGACAGACAGACAAACAGATAGCAGAAAGACAGATATATAGTCAGACAGACAGACATATATAGTCAGACAGACAGACAGACAGACAGATATATATAGTCAAATAGACAGACAGACAGATATATAGACAAATAGACAGACAGACAGTCAGATATGTATAGTCAGACAGACAGATTTATATATAGACAGACATATAGTCAGACAGACAGATATATATAGTCAGACAGACAGACAGACATATAGTCAGACAGACAGACATATATAACGTTAGTCAGACAGACAGTCAGACAGACATATAGTCAGACAGACAGACAGATATATATAGTCAGATAGACAGACAGACAGTTAGACATATATAGTCAGACAGACTGACAGACAGACATATATAGTCAGACAGACAGACAGATACATATAGTCAGACAGACAGACATATATAGTCAGACAGACAGACATATATAGTCAGACAGACAGACAGACATATATAGTCAGATAGACAGACAGACATATATAGTCAGATAGACAGACAGTCAGACAGACAGACATATATAGTCAGACAGACTGACACAGACATATATAGTCAGACAGACAGATTTATATATAGACAGACAGACATACACTCACCGGCCACTTTATTAGGTACACCTGTCCAACTGCTCGTTAACACTTAATTTCTAAGCAGCCAATCACATGGCGGCAACTCAGTGCATTTAGGCATGTAGACATGGTCAAGACAATCTCCTGCAGTTCAAACCAAGCATCAGTATGGGGAAGAAAGGTGATTTGAGTGACTTTGAACGTGGCATGATTGTTGGTGCCAGAAGGGCTGGTCTGAGTATTTCAGAAACTGCTAATCTACTGGGATTTTCACGCACAACCATCTCTAGGGTTTACAGAGAATGGTCCGAAAAAGAAAAAACATCCAGTGAGCGGCAGTTCTGTGGGCGGAAATGCCTTGTTGATGCCAGAGGTCAGAGGAGAATGGCCAGACTGGTTCGAGCTGATAGAAGGGCAACAGTGACTGAAATAACCACTCGTTACAACCGAGGTATTCAGCAAAGCATTTGTGAAGCCACAACACGCACAACCTTGAGGCGGATGGGCTACAACAGCAGAAGACTCCACCGGGTACCACTCATCTCCACTACAAATAGGAAAAAGAGGCTACAATTTGCAAGAGCTCACCAAAATTGAACAGTTGAAGACTGGAAAAATGTTGCCTGGTCTGATGAGTCTCGATTTCTGTTGAGACATTCAGATGTTAGAGTCAGAATTTGGCGTAAACAGAATGAGAACATGGAACCATCATGCCTTGTTACCACTGTGCAGGCTGGTGGTGGTGGTGTAATGGTGTGGGGGATGTTTTCCTGGCACACTTTAGGCCCCTTAGTGCCAATTGGGCATCGTTTAAATGCCACGGCCTACCTGAGCATTGTTTCTGACCATGTCCATCCCTTTATGGCCACCATGTACCCATCCTCTGATGGCTACTTCCACCATGTCACAAAGCTCTAATCATTTCAAATTGGTTTCTTGAACATGACAATGAGTTCACTGTACTAAAATGGCCTCCACAGTCACCAGATCTCAACCCAATAGAGCATCTTTGGGATGTGGTGGAACGGGAGATTCGCATCATGGATGTGCAGCCGACAAATCTGCGGCAACTGTGTGATGCCATCATGTGAATATGGACCAAACTCCCTGAGGAATGCTTCCAGCACCTTGTTGAATCTATGCCACGAAGAATTGAGGCAGTTCTGAAGGCAAAAGGGGGTCCAACCCGTTACTAGCATGGGGTACCTAATAAAGTGGCCGGTGAGTGTATATAGTCAGTCAGACAGACAGACATATAGTCAGACAGACAGACATATATAACGTTAGTCAGACAGACAGTCAGACAGACATATAGTCAGACAGACAGACAGATATATATAGTCAGATAGACAGACAGACAGTTAGACATATATAGTCAGACAGACTGACAGACTGACAGACTGACAGACAGACATGTATAGTCAGACAGACAGACAGATACATATAGTCAGACAGACAGACATATATAGACAGACATATATAGTCAGACAGACAGACAGACAGACAGACAGACATATATAGTCAGATAGACAGACAGACAGACAGACATATATAGTCAGATAGATAGACAGACAGTCAGACAGACAGACATATATAGTCAGACAGACTGACACAGACATATATAGTCAGACAGACAGATTTATATATAGACAGACAGACATATATAGTCAGTCAGACAGACAGATATATATAGTCAGATAGATAGAGATCAGCTGCTCTCACGTTCTCGGAGTTTGTTCTGGTAGTTTGGATCACTCCGCCTCTTTCTGTCGAAATAAACACAGTAACCGACGAACAGCGCCGCGCCCAAACCCGCCGCGATCCTGGAGCTACTGGCGCCCATCATGACGAGAGAAACACACGACACGAGAGAAACACACCGGGGGAATAATGACGATAATAATAACACAGATCAGACTGACTGCATGACCCTCACGGAGCCACACGAGGAAGGACCCCGATTACGTCAGAGCCCGTGACAGATGAGCGGCCGCGGACTGCGCCTGATCACAAATGCACAAACACACTCGCGAACAATTTATTCAATCGCGTATGGAGATAAAATAAGGCGAGAGCATTAAACCTTCCTCTAGAAAAGGAAATTATTTAAAAAATCTACAGGTTGGAACAATTACGCCCTCGATTTAAACAGCAGATGGCAGTGAAGATCCACCGCAGAATAATATCAGAAACAAACGTGATCTGATGCCGTTTTAGTTGTTCCACTTTTTGTTTAAATACATTTCTTTCATTCATCTTTCAGAATTAATTAATGTATTTATAAACATATTCGTTTATCTTTTTTAAATTCGTTAAATTTGTTTCGTTAAACAGTTGTTTTCTATGTGAATATAGTAAAGTTTAATTTATTCCCTTAATTTATATCCTCTTAAATGTATTACTTTAAGTTCAGTGTGTGTGTGTGTGTGTGTGTGTGTGTGTGTGTGTGTGTGTGTGTGTGTGTGTGTGTGTGTGTGTGTGAGTGTGTGTGTGTGTGTATGAGTGTGTGAGTGAAGTGTGTGTGTGTGTGTGTGTGTGTGTGTGTGTGTGTGTGTGTGTGTGTGTGTGTGTGTGTGTGTGTGTGTGTATGAGTGTGTGAGTGAAGTGTGTGTGTGTGTGTGTGTGTGTGTGTGTGTGTGTGTGTGTGTGTGTGTTCAGTAGGGGTCACTGCTGCATCACACTCCAAAAACACACTCACACTGAATGAAAGATCATAACACCAGAAAATCGGATGTATATTTGCTTGATAGTTTAATGTCACTCTATTTACTCGACTCTTAACTACATAATTACTCACTTTTATGCTTTTGGCAGATGCTTTCTGTAGTAAGTGTGTAGTGTGTAGTGTGCAGTGTGTACTGTATTGTGTACTGTAGTGTGTAGAGTGCACTGTAGTGTGTACTGTAGTGTGCAGTGTGTAGAGTGTACTGTGTTGTGTACTGTAGTGTGTAGAGTGTACTGTAGTGTGTACTGTAGTGTGCAGTGTGTAGAGTGTACTGTGTTGTGTACTGTAGTGTGTAGTGTACTGTGGTGTGTACTGTAGTGTGTAGAGTGTACTGTAGTGTGTACTGTAGTGTGTAGAGTGTACTGTAGAGTGTACTGTAGTGTGTACTGTAGTGTGTAGTGTGTGTAGTGTGTACTGTAGTGTGTGTAGTGTGTACTGCAGTGTGTACTGTAGTGTGTAGTGTGTGTAGTGTGTACTGTAGTGTGTACTGTATGCTGGTGTCCCAGTGTGGCGTCAGTGACTCGCACCTGCTGTAGTGTGTACTGCAGTGTGTACTGTAGTGTGTAGTGTGTGTAGTGTGTACTGTAGTGTGTAGTGTGTGTAGTGTGTACTGCAGTGTGTACTGTAGTGTGTAGTGTGTGTAGTGTGTACTGTAGTGTGTACTGTATGCTGGTGTCCCAGTGTGGCGTCAGTGACTCGCACCTGCTGTAGTGTGTACTGTAGTGTGTAGTGTGTGTAGTGTGTGCAGTGTGTAGTGTGTGTAGTGTGTGCTGTAGTGTGTAGTGTGTGTAGTGTGTGTAGTGTGTACTGCAGTGTGTACTGTGTGTAGTGTGTACTGTAGTGTGTAGTGTGTGTAGTGTGTACTGTAGTGTGTACTGTATGCTGGTGTCCCAGTGTGGCGTCAGTGACTCGCACCTGCTGTAGTGTGTACTGTAGTGTGTACTGTAGTGTGTAGTGTGTACTGTAGTGTGTACTGTATGCTGGTGTCCCAGTGTGGCGTCAGTGACTCGCACCTGCTGTAGTGTGTACTGTAGTGTGTAGTGTGTGTAGTGTGTGCAGTGTGTAGTGTGTGTAGTGTGTACTGCAGTGTGTACTGTAGTGTGTAGTGTGTGCTGTAGTGTGTAGTGTGTGTAGTGTGTGTAGTGTGTACTGCAGTGTGTACTGTGTGTAGTGTGTACTGTAGTGTGTACTGTATGCTGGTGTCCCAGTGTGGCGTCAGTGACTCGCACCTGCTGTAGTGTGTACTGTAGTGTGTACTGTAGTGTGTAGTGTGTGTAGTGTGTACTGTAGTGTGTACTGTATGCTGGTGTCCCAGTGTGGCGTCAGTGACTCGCACCTGCTGTAGTGTGTACTGTAGTGTGTACTGTAGTGTGTAGTGTGTGTAGTGTGTACTGTAGTGTGTACTGTATGCTGGTGTCCCAGTGTGGCGTCAGTGACTCGCACCTGCTGTAGTGTGTACTGTAGTGTGTGTAGTGTGTACTGCAGTGTGTACTGTAGTGTGTAGTGTGTGTAGTGTGTACTGTAGTGTGTACTGTATGCTGGTGTCCCAGTGTGGCGTCAGTGACTCGCACCTGCTGTAGTGTGTACTGTAGTGTGTACTGTAGTGTGTAGTGTGTGTAGTGTGTACTGTAGTGTGTACTGTATGCTGGTGTCCCAGTGTGGCGTCAGTGACTCGCACCTGCTGTAGTGTGTACTGCAGTGTGTACTGTAGTGTGTAGTGTGTGTAGTGTGTAGTGTGTAGTGTGTAGTGTGTGTAGTGTGTAGTGTGTGTAGTGTGTGCAGTGTGTACTCTTGGCTCGGCTCGGCTGCAGATGGCCTGGACTGAAGCTCCGCACTGGATCTGATTAAAGCCTTTGAGAAGAGACCGGCATTGATCATGTCGAGCTGCATCCGAGAATACCAATTACACCCTTTGAACTGCCTTTAAATTATATCAGCATCCAATAATTACTCGTCCATGAGTCGCCATCATCGGGAGCAGCGTCCTCTTCCCTGCCCACGGCTCCGGAGCTGCCGTCAGTGTCTCACGGGGACTCGCCGCCACTGGAACGGCGGAGCGAAGCTCTTTTTACAGTAGGATTTTACATTTTTTATTTTACTATTATTATTTTATTCATAAAATATTATTTCAAAGAAAAAATATTGTAAACTGTTATTGCTCTTTTACAGCTTCCACAAAACATACCTGTTAATATGGTCAATTTTACAATATTATTGTCAAATGTTTTTTTATATATACACACATTAATATTGTGCATCCGGAGAATATTCATAGCGCTTCACTTTTTGCACTACACAACTCCTGCACTACACAACTCCTGCACTCCACAACTCCTGCACTACACAACCCCTGCACTACACAACTCCTGCACTCCACAACTCCTGCACTACACAACTCCTGCACTCCACAACTCCTGCACTACACAACTCCTGCACTACACAACCCCTGCACTACACAACTCCTGCACTCCACAACTCCTGCACTACACAACCCCTGCACTACACAACCCCTGCACTACACAACTCCTGCACTACACAACCCCTGCACTACACAACCCCTGCACTACACAACTCCTGCACTACACAACCCCTGCACTACACAACCCCTGCACTACACAACTCCTGCACTACACAACTCCTGCACTACACAACCCCTGCACTACACAACTCCTGCACTACACAACTCCTGAACTACACAACTCCTGCACTACACAACCCCTGCACTACACAACCCCTGCACTACACAACTCCTGCACTACACAACTCCTGCACTACACAACTCCTGAACTACACAACTCCTGCACTACACAACCCCTGCACTACACAACCCCTGCACTACACAACCCCTGCACTACACAACTCCTGCACTACACAACCCCTGCACTACACAACTCCTGCACTACACAACTCCTGCACTACACAACCCCTGCACTACACAACCCCTGCACTACACAACTCCTGCACTACACAACCCCTGCACTACACAACCCCTGCACTACACAACTCCTGCACTACACAACCCCTGCACTACACAACCCCTGCACTACACAACTCCTGCACTACACAACTCCTGCACTACACAACCCCTGCACTACACAACTCCTGCACTACACAACTCCTGCACTACACAACCCCTGCACTACACAACCCCTGCACTACACAACTCCTGCACTACACAACCCCTGCACTACACAACCCCTGCACTACACAACTCCTGCACTACACAACTCCTGAACTACACAACTCCTGCACTACACAACCCCTGCACTACACAACCCCTGCACTACACAACCCCTGCACTACACAACTCCTGCACTACACAACCCCTGCACTACACAACTCCTGCACTACACAACTCCTGCACTACACAACCCCTGCACTACACAACCCCTGCACTACACAACTCCTGCACTACACAACCCCTGCACTACACAACCCCTGCACTACACAACTCCTGCACTACACAACCCCTGCACTACACAACCCCTGCACTACACAACTCCTGCACTACACAACTCCTGCACTACACAACTCCTGCACTACACAACCCCTGCACTACACAACCCCTGCACTACACAACTCCTGCACTACACAACCCCTGCACTACACAACCCCTGCACTACACAACTCCTGCACTACACAACCCCTGCACTACACAACCCCTGCACTACACAACTCCTGCACTACACAACTCCTGCACTACACAACTCCTGCACTACACAACTCCTGCACTACACAACTCCTGAACTACACAACTCCTGCACTACACAACCCCTGCACTACACAACCCCTGCACTACACAACCCCTGCACTACACAACCCCTGCACTACACAACTCCTGCACTACACAACTCCTGCACTACACAACCCCTGCACTACACAACCCCTGCACTACACAACTCCTGCACTACACAACCCCTGCACTACACAACTCCTTCACTACACAACTCCTGCACTACACAACCCCTGCACTACACAACTCCTGCACTACACAACTCCTGCACTACACAACCCCTGCACTACACAACTCCTGCACTACACAACTCCTGCACTATACAACTCCTGCACTACACAACTCCTGCACTGCACAACCCCTGCACTACACAACTCCTGCACTACACAACCCCTGCACTACACAACTCCTGCACTCCACAACTCCTGCACTACACAACCCCTGCACTACACAACTCCTGCACTACACAACTCCTGCACTACACAACCCCTGCACTACACAACTCCTGCA